AGGAATTTTAAATGACAACTTTACCTGAAACGAGATCCTCCAATCCCTAAGACTGGAAAGAACTTTACACGAATCGACACTCTGAGAATGCAGATAGCTCACTGTAAAAACGTCAGGTGCTTACAACTAGAGTCACGCTAGTTGCTATAGCTTGTTTCAACGCTCAGAAATGCCTACCTCCGCGAATTTTCCGCTTTCCTCACTAGTATTCAACGCTTGTTATGGAATCGTCACTTGGAGCAAAATGTGTGCAAATTCGGGTTGTGGTTCGATGAGTTTGAAATCCAATTTTGCCTTTCTGACAATAACTCGATACATAACCAAGCTAACAGGTGCAGGTAAGGAGAATATCAAATCATCATTGTCGTGATGTATTACCAAACTCTCCGAACTATCATTAAAAAGAATTAGAGGCATAAGGTTAGGAGAGCTGATGTTTCGATCGAGGTACTTATAATTGAAGGCGTGACGTTTCGTGGCAACGGTTCCGTCTTGCGAAATGAGTGTTTCCTGGACGTGATTCAACTGTGTCAAAACACAGGAACAGGAAGTAAAACACACATCCGGCTACAAATCTATTGTATTTGCTTTTTTTACATACAGGATAGGCAAATGCCCATAGACACTGTTTGTCATAGTCTTGAAATCCATGGAAGTAAAGCATGTCTTTAAATAACATGTTCTGGTACAGCTGTTATTACTACGCTACGAGGACGGTTCAAAATAATTGAAAAGTATACGTAAATAAAACAAAAATATCTGTGCGTTGATAATTTTTTACAGGGAAAAAGCCAAAATGACTGAGATTTCCCTAGTTACCTTCAACTTAAGTACTTGAAGAGGAAACCAAAAAAACTCGAGTACATGACCTTTGCGATTCCATATGTAACTTTGCAAGTTTAAGTTAGGTTCGTCCTCAGCTGTGTCGAAATAGAAATGGAAAAAAATAGTAAGAAATATTGTCCTGAATTTTTCATCAGTCAGGGCTGGTATTTTGTTAACCCAAGCTGCGTTTAAGCATGTTTGTTGTGGTTTGAAGGCCATCTCCATGAATAGAGAGATTAAGCAGTGACGTTACGTCAAAAGGCAAACAGCAAAAATGAAACTATTGCCTTCTGTCTTCAGCTGTCTGTACAGTAGAGTGAAAATATATGTATTTGCGGTGAATAGTAGGAAACATTTTTCTATTCTTGTGTGATTCATTTAACGATTACGAGAAAAGAATAAAAAATCAGAGGTAATCTTTGCCGTTTGCCGTCTGCCGTAAACGTTATGCTTAAACTCTCTAATGCTTCTTTTACCATCGTCCGCCAAACCCAAATTTCCTCTTTTTTTTTTTTTTTTTGAATTAAGAAATTATTTCTCCATTATTCGGGTGTTTCCAAGTTTAATAGGTTTCTTAAATAGTCATTTTCAAGTGACTGACATATGGGCCTCTTCATATGAGCGCGGTCAACCGGGCTGGCTCGGTCTCCGAGATCTCGCCTCGCCACTCTTTCCTTCGTAAAATTTTCGATGTGTTCATATCTGAAGCCACGCTGGCCCGGATACCGAGATCTCGGGTTTTGCGACCGAGATCTCGGTAACCGGGATGAAAATTTTCCCATATGAACACTCCAGCCCGGGTAACCGGGACGAAACTGTTTAGACGAAATAGCTTCGTTTTCGCAACATAGCGGCCAAAATGGCATAATTTTTGCCTTGTATGTATTTTCACTTTAGGAGTAGGCGAATTAGCTTTATTAGTAAAGCTACAAGAGTCCACAAAGCTGCGACAGCCGCGAACGATACAAGTTTATGTTCCACCATTTTGGTTGTGTTTCTAGGATTTTATCCCGGTAGACCAGGCTGAAATTTCCCATGTGAACAGACAACAAAATTCGTCCCGGTAACCGAGCCAGCCCGGTTACCGGGCTCATATGAAGAGGGCCTTAATCAGCCCTCATAACCAGGTCTATAACCAGGTCTTTAAGCAACCTTTTGAGCCTAGTGGCTACAAGTGAAAATGGCTTTTCTTTTCAATGACCCGCTGTTATTTTAGTATTACTTTTTATCGACCGACTAACTCGCTCTTACCAGAGAGAAAGCGATGGAAAACAAAAAAATTCGTGGGTTTGACCTAAGTTATCATTTCCGTTTGATCAGTTTATCCTTAGGCATCCACAGCTGATACTGTATTCAGCAAAACTCTGCGAGTCCGATCTGATCATTAATAACACAACCCCCATTTAGAAAGCGGCCATTTTATTTTCCGTCTATGACGAAATTGACTTAGACGCTGAATTTCTGTTCAAGAATTACAAGAAAATAATGAAAAATAAACGGTTGGCATGCTTTATCAATCCGAAGATTTAACAAGTGCTTGTAAGGGCCTCTTCATATGAGCCCAGTAACCGGGCTAGCTCGGTTACCGGGACGACTTTTTTGGTCCGTTCATATGGGAAATTTCAGCACGGTCGACCGGGATGAAATCCAAGAAACACAAGCAAAATGATTGAACATAAACTTGTATCGTTCGCGACTGTCGTAGCTTTGTGCCGAACTCTCGGTATCTTTACTAATAAAGCTAGTGCGCATACTCCTAAAGTGGAAATACATGCAAGACAAAAATTATGCCATTTTGGCCGCTATGTTGCGAAGGCGAAGCTATTTTGTCTTAAAAGTTTGGTCCCGGTTACCCAGGCTGGAGTGTTCATATGAGAAAATTTTCATCCCGGTTACCGAGATCTCGGTCGCAAAAACCGAGATCTCGGTAACCGGGCCAGTCCGGCTTCTCCTATGAACCCATCGACATTTGTACGAAGGAAAGAGTGGCGAGGCCAGATCTCGGAAACCGAGCCAACCCGGTTGACCGGGCTCATATGAAAAGGCCTATATGAAAAGGGAGTAACCCCAATGAACGAGTAACTAAAACTACTACGTTTTACAGCATGTAAGCCAGCTTGTATTTTTATGCAAGGAAGAATTTGCATTCTCTGACAAACAAACCTTTGGTTATAAAATCTAGAAAATTTATCATATTTAAGTTATGTTTATCCGCTGATCGGATCAAAGCAGGAGACAACTTTTCGGCGCCGAGAGAGTGTTTATTAAATTGAGCCATATTTCCTTCCGTTGGTAGATAACTCTTTATAACAGATCTGGACCACTTCCTATTATTCTACTGAATTGCGCTGTCTAAATTGCTTCAAAGGCTTTTTGTCATGTGGAATAACAGCTTACCAAGGCTGGCACTACGAAGAAAACTTAACTCGACAACAGCATAATCATGATAGAGTCCCAAGTGAAAGCCAAGAATTGTAACCGTGGGCAGCCGTTTCGACTTGATTAGGTCTCGTCAGCATGTCCGGCTTTTTATGTGGTTCTATTAATTTGCTGCCCAAAGTGGCTCCTGCTTTTAAGTCTGCGTAAGAATCCTTAGTGTGTGACCATTTAAACGAAGCAATTGAGCAGTACTTTCATGTGGTACTGTTTATCATGCTGTACAAGGTTCTAACTTTTAAGTCTGTGGATAAGACCCTAGTGTGTGACCACTCAAAAGAAAGCTAGTGGACCGTAGTGTCATTTGGTGTCGTTTATCATGCCTGACTGTGTATAAAACCTTCATATCTACCCACTAGAGTAAAAGTTATTAAGCAGGCTTCTGTGTGCTGCATGAGACTGACCTAACTTTTGAAAAATGAATAAAAACTCTGGAGTATGACCACTTAGATGAAAGCTGCTTCCAAGCAGTATTTGTTTCTTCGAAACTTTCGCATTTGTTTTGAAAACTTTTAACCAGGATATATTTTGGAAACTCGAAGTGTTAATACAATTCAGTGAGCAGCTGGGCATTATCCCAGGGTATTGTCCATTACCGGTCTTTTGTTGATGTTATTGTTTTGCTGGTGCGGAAATGTTTCGTTTCTAGCTGCTTCTCAAGATCACGCGCGTTTGTGGTTGCATTTAGCAGGTGTTAATGGCGGAAGGAAGGTGAACAAGGAGAGCTAGCGCTTTCACCCTTGGCACGCGACATCAACAAGCCAATATCATTAATTGCGTTGAATTTTCCCGGACGGAAACACGCAACGCACAGCTGCAAATTAATCCCAGCCTTGAGGAAGACATCAACTCTATTATATCCTACATATTTCGAACTTGAAATACAATTGAACTCTTTTTGTAAAACGAGCTTTGTGTTTAATTTGGTTGGAGGACCCTCAGAGACTAGTGAGGTTGCGACATTTAACAACTACAGAACTTGATTTTTGTGCTTCCTTCATTCAATTTAGAGAATTCCTTAATGTGGTATACCCGCATGCACCTAATTTGTCTTCATACGCAACATAATTCCAAAAGGAAATCCAAATATTCTTAAAGCACAAAATTCCGTGTAGTAATAAGCTTCTTCTTCAGTTTGCAGCTTTTTTTTGTCTTTTTAACAGGCAAAATTCTCTCAAATGGCTCGATTTCTTATTCTTACTCCACGTTTATACATCCTACCCAGAAAAAGTAACTTTTCGAAAGTTTCCTGTAAATTTTAGAATCTCTGCCTTAATCTTGTTCCTCACAAATCGATAGCCAGTCAGACTTCAAAATATCGACAAGCCTGCGACATGCTCGTTGCGCCAGCGGTGAAACCGCGAGACAAGTTGCGCGAGCAGCGAAGCTGCAGCGCGAAAAACCGAAACACGAGACAAGCTAGAGATTCAGAGATAGACGTCTCTCCAGTTTTTTTGTTTGTTTGTTTTTTTCTTTGCGTTGTCAGCCCAGGTTCAATCATCATTGTTTTGTGTCCCTTCACGCAAGCTGAACCTATTTTTCACCGGGATTTTTGTTACCGATCAAAGCCAAAAGCTAAATATTTGTAAGTAACTTTTCGAGTATGTGGGTTTCAAATGTGGGTTAGATATAAGCAAACATCATTCACCCTTTGTACTGTAATTAATACCATCGATAGCGAACTTTACTCTCTTCTTGCAAAAAAAAAGAAACAAATGAATAATAACACAAGCGCAAAATTAAAACTTGCCCAGGCAATCACCATAGCAAAGTACATATTTTTTTACTAATGTTTATTTACATTGAATAGACATCTAGTGCTCGCAGTGTTATGTACAAAATTGAAATTCAATTTTCACACCTAAATAAACTCTATTTATACATTGTTTTTTTTTTTTTTCACTCCCTGCCGGCGTAAAATACAATCTAATCTTCTTCCCAACTTTTGCACTGATGTACATTGGAGGTCATACATTTGTTAATTCCTACTGTACCTAGATTAAATAAGTTACAAGCAAAAACATCTATACAATCTCATGATGTAGAACATTTATAAGTCTTAAAATCATTCTTTGTCTCGTTGTGTCACTAGTGAACTCTTTCAATTCAAGTATGTACAGTTTGTGGTATTAGTTATTGTTTATAACCTCAATACATCTTTATAGAACAAAGAATATAGAAATTCAGTTCCCGAACGTAACGTGTTTTGTGTTAAGTCTGTTAAATATGAGATAGAAAATTTGTGACAAGTTCTCACACACGGCTTTAACATAGCTAAAGCGAATTTTTTTTTTTGGTTTTGGTGGCAATTATACACTGTATGCAAATGGCAGCAAAATCGTTCGGATTTCATCTTCTAGAAGCTTTCTCCGTAAGCAACTGTGGAGAAAAGAGGAGAATGAGAAAGGAAAACTAAACGGAGGGTAGGGGGGAGGGGATGGACTAAGATGCACGACCTCCCCCCCCCCCGCCCTTTTCGCTCTTCTTCAGTTTTGGGACTATATCATTCATCCTCTGAGAAAGGAAAACTTAATAGAGTGGAAGGGGGACGGGAAAGATGCACGACCTTCCTCCCTCCCCTTCAAGGAAGGCTAAACTTCACACACTATTCAATTTTAATTTCTCACTCATTAACACTTGCAATTTCTAGCTGTAACTTCATTTTTCTATGACTTGATGATGCCAACTTGACGGCACGCAGGAATCACACAAGGAACAATATACGGGTAAATAGAAACTGGGTAGGTCATGTGACTTGGACTGACCAATGGGGCTTGAATGATTCGGAAACCCATCGGAGAGCTGGCCAGCGTTGTCTGGGGCAGTGTGAGCGAGTTGGTTCGCACGCAAGGTATAGTGGGAAGTTCCTGCTTCTCCTTTCCTGATTCTTCATCTATCTTTGCAGGTGCTAATGGTGGCGTTTGGGCCTTTGATGGGGCGTCTTGTGAAGAGGAGCTCTCTTTGGCCAGAGGTGGTTTCACAAATTTGTAAACAAGTCTTTGTCCATTTACCTGAAACGGAAAAGAACATAAAATAAGATAAATATAATTTGCTTTGAGCAAACTTGTACAATAAGAAATTCAACATGCTTTGAGAAAAGAACTGTGTGTTACTTTGAGTTCTGTTTATTTCCTTATTTTAGTTCCTTTTTTTTGTTGTTTGAGTCATGCACTTTCTAATTTTAGTTTGAAAAAAGCAACATCCTTCTTAGCTTAAGGTCATATTTTTCAGTCTTCAAGGATCTGTTTTGCGGGAAATTAAGGCCTTAGCTTAACTACCGTACCCCTCTAATTCACGTTCTTGACCTCGTAAGAACTGCGTGATACATCCCTCTTTTCAAAACTGTAATTTGTATAAAGAAGTTTTCCTAACAATGACATAATTTTAGATACCTTTTTAATGATCCCTTTTTGGTAGTAGTATCTCAGTGCTCGGCTAAGCTTGTCATAATTCATGCCTGGTCGATGTTTTAAAGTTCCCCACCTCCTCGCTACTTCTTCTTGATTTTTTAATTTGAACTCTCCTGCTTCGCGATTGGTCCAGCAGATCATGTGATCGCATTTTTCATCCAATAGGAGATTGAGTAAAAACTCCCAGAGATGGATGGCAGTTTTTGGGGGTTTCCTTAGACTTTCTGTGAATAAACGAAAAATGAACGTTTTAATACATTTTCGATTAAAATAACACGTCAAAAATAGGTTCCTTCTGCCAAGATTTCACACTTGGGCTGGTGGAAAAGCTGGTGTCAATTATAAAACTGTTTGGCGTCAACTGCTAATAGATCTAACCGACAAAGCCAATTAGAAGATTATCCTAATCATATGTGACATCGTCTTCCGCCGTAAGTTAATAATATCATTGTCATCTTTGCAACAAAACGAACTCAATCGCTAAAATTAAAAGTCAAAGCGAATTCTGCTAGCTGGCGCCTTTTTTCCTTGTTGAAAGCAAAACTAAACGTTTTGCGTGTTAATTCGAGTTCGGCGAGAAGAACAAGTCCGTGACTTCAATGATATATTTCCTGAATTTTTGGTTGGTATTCATCACGAATTTTTCTTAAAATCGTGAAACTCGGAGCACTTGGAGTAGTTTGTTTTTATTTCTCTGTTCCTCTGGCCTCAGTTTTTCACGCATCTAGGAAAATTTGGTATCTACTTACCAAAAGACATGATGCTTTTTAGAACTTGTACTTGCTATAAGTTAGTCTTCTTTTCTGTAACCAAGAGGACACGAAATAATTAGGAAATATGCAACTGTCGCAATGATACTTTCTGGTACGTTTCAATGGACTTAAACCTTCGCTAATTCCGCAAAATATTTGCCACTGTTGAGCTTTTTCACGAGTACAGCACGCGGATTAGTGTGTGCTCTTATTCCCGTGAAAATATGCTTTTGTCTATCGGACAAGAGCGGAAGGAAGTCTAATGACCTCCTTCTTCACCTTAAGCGCCACAGGAATCTTACTGGCGCGCGCGCTTTTGTTTGCTTCGACCAGATGTAAACGGAATAAAACCTTGGCCGACAACTTTTCTCCAAAGGTTTTCGCTGTAAATAAAAAGCTATCCGAAAGACGAAAGCTGCGGACTTTACTACTGGACATAGAAATCATCAATTTCCAATAGCGAATAAAACAAATAGATTAAAAATTTCTTAGGAGCAACTCTATGAGTAAAGTTGACGAAGTTAGACTACTATTTATATTTTCTATATCACCTGCTGATATTTTCTTCAAATCCTTGGCCAATTACCATGAAAGAAACCTTTCTAAGAATTGTATGTTTTAGGTCTTGATAACAAACTGCTTCAACAGGGTCAAATTTTCGCCCCCTGCCAGTTTTCAATCACCGTTAAGACTTCCGCTATCGAAGAAACGCAAAAGTTTGCTCAAGTCTTCCTAATATCACCAAGAAATTTTCTTAAACGGCCGGAAGCTCACGTAAAGAGAATGATTTTCATTTTTCACGGATTTGCAAAGAAATTTCCTCAGGACTAACAAATCCGGCAATCTCTCGTAATTTTTGCAAAGGCTAAAGTTCTCTCTCGTTGTTTCAAACTTACATTTAAGCCGATCTCGAATTCTGCGATTTTTGGCCGATTTTTGTGGTGTAAAATTAATTGCTTAGATAAAATGAACGTGACTGCATTTCTTGTATGTACAGAGCTGTAGATTGTTAAGGCAACGAATCCACTGCTTTCAAAATAAATTTGCTTCTCAAGAACGTGAACGAAAGCGAACTTATTGGAAAATTAGAATTTCGCAAACTTGACAGCAAGGATTCAAACTCAGCTCAAAAAATCGCGGTAAATGGAACACAAGTTCGATTTGCGTGTTGCCAGCACTGCTTCGATTGCTCGCGTACGACAGCGAAAATGTCACGAAATTCGAAATGGCAATGTTTTCAAGCGCAAAGTGACAAAAATTGCATTTAAGTGAAAAGAAGCATTAAAAGGCCAATAATATTCAACTGTACCTGTTAGGATCGCCGTTTCACGAGCGTAGTAGTAGCTTAGCTAGTATCGAAACACAATATTTAACTGCCGTGTGGGCGACTTGAAGTTTGTTTATATGCCAATGTGAAGACTTCCTGTTTATGTCATGGTTCAAACAATAGGCTAACGTGGGCGGAAGTGATTGTGGAAGTGTCATGTCACGCATAGCAATTACTTCCTCCTTGTCAATCGAACAAAAAGCAAATTAGATTGAGAATTAACTGGCGCGTGCTAGGAATACAGAATAATGCTTCTTAGTACGGCGTCATCGGCAATCGTGGGTTGCATAAGATGATATAAAGAAGAAAACATACGCTTAGCGCTTGTACAGGGTTTCAAGCTTCCACGAAATTAAAATTCAGGTTATCCCCGAAGTTATCAAAATATATTATTACAGAAAATGTTAAGAATCTTGAGTTCCTTTATGAATTGTCTCTAGCAGTGTCTGACGGAAAAGACTTGCCCAGGCCGACGGAGTATGTTCCGGTAGTTCTTTTTAGATTTTTGACCAGAAGTAATTTTGCGTTCATGTTTTCCTACTTTATTAATACACACAGGAAAAAGGAAGCAAGAAAGAAGGGAAGGCTTGAACTCGCTGAAATGCAATATAAATTCATTCCCCGTAGAGTCTCTTTCGAAGTCCTTAGTTCGGAACACATTGAGTAAGGGTTATTTTTAAAAACGTTATTGTCCCGGACGTTTAGAAGCCTTGCAACGGAAATTCAGTTTGTCATAAACGAAACTTTTTTTTTTGTCAAAATATTCTGTAGCTGTCTAGGCAGTTCACAGCCCGAAGCTAGAGTTTCCTGCTTTTTTAAAGTTTATTTTTTATGTATATGACATCTGGAATTCAAGTCCTTCCTCATATACCGTCAGGTATCTGTTATTTTATTGTATTTTTTCTTTTCACAAAGTAAATGTAACTGCAAAAAGAAAATATCAAACCATCATTAATTTTGTGATTTTCGTCATTTCATGTTTCCAGTAGCGTGACACTTACAATAAAAGCTGATTAATTTATTTTGTTTACTTAAGCATAAGTTAAAATTTTTGACTAAAATTTACCGCCGTGAAAATCATCAAGTTTGAATGGCATCCCATCTCTCTCCCTGTAGCAACTTGCAGCTTCTTTTGGAAAATTAGGAATGGAGCACGACTTTGAGAAGATGGAACCTGAAAACCGTAGATGTACGTGCCTCGGGGAACATCACTCTCAAACGTCTTTTGTTTGGAGTGACAACGACCTTGTATGCTTTGTTTCCCTTTTGACACTTCCTTGTCTCCTTGACAAGCATGTTCCGTTGAAAATATCTGCTCTGTGCAAATTTTTATTCAGTTTTCAGATAAAGTGTCGAAATCGCAGACATCAGTTTCTGACAAAGAAGGATGTAGAATTGATAAATTAACGAGCCTACCTGTTCCGGTTGTGAATTATCAGAAGGGAAATTTTAACTTTACGCTCGTGTGGCGTATATATACATGTTGGAAAGTGAAGACTGAAAAGTAAGATTGTGAAGTAAAACTTGATAAAAACGGAAAATCCCGACAAATCCAGAGGTCACTTCCTTCGTCTGAGGCCTCCATGAACCTAGCACGCTTAATGACATTAGGCTTGTTTCCTGAACTGATAATCTGATCCAAGATATTTTCTGCCTCAAATCTGATTGATAAATAGCAAAGGGAAAACCTCTTGAGGCGAGGTAAAGGAGAGAACGCTTATAGAACGCTAACAACTAGTTGTCCCAAAATAATGATAGCTGCTATTCATAAACTTTTCGTCACAGTGTAGAAATTAAATTTCCTGCACATGTTCCGCTAAATTTCAACGAAATCAGAAATGTGTGGTCATATCGCAGTGCTATCGAACAATAGTCGTATACCCGGCCATTTCTTCAGTTTTAAGACAAAACGGACTCGACTTGTTACTAAACGTCACTAACAGCCAACATATCACTTTAATATTTAGCATCTGTGTTTGCTACAGGAAAGTTTTAGATGCAGTTTTGGCCTTCCGGTAAATCTAACTCGGTGCTGATGTTTTTGGAAGTCTCTCTAGATTATTTATAGGTGAAATTTGGCCATAAATCTTTCCTCGTATAGCGGGCAGTTACATAATCAAAATGCATCATCATTATTTCTAGAAACAAATCTATTCTCGACATATAATGTACAATACAAAACGCTTACCTCAGCAAAGACTTGTGAAATTCTAAATTTAACGGAGTCTGATCGGTTAGTGGAGAGTTTCTTTGAACTAAATTCAAAATCTCACATGCGTTCGTCGGCAAAAACTCAGATAGTGGCAGAGAGCATAATCAGGTAGACCACAATAACAGGAACTTGTAGTCAAGCTTCAGTGACAAGTTGTTATCCAACGAGTGACGAATTACACCGGAAAACACTCAAATTATTTAACGATTAGGGTGTCATGTTGTGAGTTTAGTCTAGTTCAGTGGAGCGCAGGCAAATATCAGTATAAACATGGCAACGGATCAAAATGAATTGGCTCTGATATTATAAAACATAATATAATCCTTTTTTTGCTCAGGATTTCAAAGCCTGCCTGGTTCAGTATTCTGATCTACTCGCACTATGACCTCCCCTAAAAATATGATTCTTTTCCAGCTCACTTCACCGTTATTTTAACGTAATTTAGAGCGGAACTTTTCGTTTGACAGGTGCAACTGACAAACCCGTTATGAGGCGTGGGTGGGGTGTTGGGGGGGGGGGGAACCTCATGCTGATCTGGAACAGGGTACAGAGACGTTCCACAAGGGGTAAATTCTAGATCTTGGGGGAGGGGGGCGAGGAGGAAGTGGAGAAGGAGGGGGTCCGGAGGTCATGCAGATGGCGGAAGAAAAGGAAGGGTCCCTTTTATTGGTCCCGGTGGGATACTCCCTTAAGGTGGTCTTATACCTAAAAAAATTTTTTTTTTTGCAAAACAACTCTGTGGAACAGTTTTGGTATCACGTTAAAGGACTTTGCACTCTGACTTCAAAAATGAGCTTTTCCAGCTCA